AGACCGTGGGTTTAGTCCCAATCTCCTTCGCGTTATATGATGGGTAGGACATCAATTCAGCTTATCGTTTACCAAAACGAACCCTGCTGCAAACCCAACCCTCTTATCCAACATCCCAGTGATTCCTCGTGGAAGTGCAGAGGTGTTCTCGGCTTCCATCAAAGCGAGTGTCATGTCAACACAATCCTTCCCATTCCTTTCTTGACCTGTGTTCGGGCGCGGCCGGCGCTGGTATTGCCTAATTTAAGATCACCAGTTTTTACACATTGAGGATGTCTATTGGTTCTCTGTGTAATTACAGCTGATCTGGCAGTAACAGAGTAGCAACCGTGGGCGGTCAATCAAGCTCAAGCTCAAGCTATCCTTCAGTGATTTTTTGTATTGAGAATGGGATATTTACCATTTCAACTTGCCCCCTTATACTCATTTTGATTTGGCGCATAGGGTGTAAACATGTGGGGCAAGTTGAAATGCTTGAAATTTAGAAGATATTTTTTGTAACTTCATTTGTAACCGGGTTTTTCTACATCATTTCCATCATTTTCTACAAAATGGGTAAAATACATAAAATTCAACTTTTTTGGAAACATTGAAGCAATGCGTAAAAAATGTGTGTTGGAGATTTCATATAACATTAAAACAATCAAAGCTTAGGACCACGCTAAGCTGTTTGTAACTACTTGAGTTGACAGTTAATATTTATAGTGTTAAAAATAATCACAGCAATAACCCACGCATACAGTTACGGCTTCCGTTTCTTACCCCAGTGTACCTTACATGAATTTAAATTTTGAGAGGATCATCTGGACCCAATTTGGAGCTGTTTTGAGCAACTGTGGAGTGAAAATTACAAATTTTGCATCACTCTAATGAGCATACTACTTTGGAACCTATATGCGTCCATTAATCCCTCAACGAGTGAACTTTTGCTCTCACTTACTACGACCGGTTAGTTTCATCCACCCCGAAAAACTCATTCATTACTTTCATACAGCCCCTACCAACACGGACCAGGCCATAAATTTCCCACTCCGCATTCAACGATCCAACGACCGTAAAAATTCCTCACCATTTTGGCCACGACTTGTTTGCTCATTAGTTTTGCCCTCTTTGCCTCGCATCCCTCGCTGCATCTACCGTTCCCACTGCACAAAAAATAACTGACCCTGCACAAGTGCGCTCGATGGAATCAATTTACTCGGAGCCGTGTTTTTGGAAGGCAGCGTTGAACTTTTCCATTAATTATGAATGTGGTAGGAATAAAGTTGATATTTGTGAGCACCGCGTAAATCAACTCCGAGAAGATGTGTTTCTTTTACGAGCTATGAAAATTTGAAAATTTTAGCGGGTAGTAAATCATTTCAGATCTATATTGTGCGAAAATTGTGTTTCATTTTCAAACATGATAACACGTCAAACTGACGACTCGAAAATAAAGATTTTCGTGACACCGCACTTTCCTAAGCCAAAACAGCTGTCGCTACAAGCATTAGAGCCGGAAACCGCATTTGAACATCATTTACGATTGCAATCACACAACAAACAGAAACGAACGAAAAGCACCGGCTCTGCCTGTCACTCAAAACGGTATTTAGTCAAATGATCAAGCACTTGCTAATCCTAACAAGTTGTCCGTGCTGCACGCACCTATCTCTTAGTCTGATCTGTATCTATGTCTTGATGTTTATCTAGTTTCAAATTTTCTACACCGGGAATTGTTTGACGGGTGTCAAAGACTCACCTCCCTCCACCATCGTCCCGCCCCCCCTCCTCACCTCCTGTGAAGATCACGCGTCGTAACGTCGTAAAATCGTTTTCCCGCGACTGTCTGGCTGGCCGGGTGGGAAGCAGGTCTAGTCGTTGAAATGCGGTCACCATGCGGTGTGTCGTCGTCGTCGTCGTTGGTCGGGAAAGTCGATTTCTTGCACGGCTTCATGACGTCACCAGTTCGCGAATGAAAGGCAGGCAGTGGCCAAAAAAACGACCCTACTATCTTTATGTGAAACTCGGTAGCCCTCTACGATTCATTCCGGCAAATGGGGTTGTAGTGGTTGGCTGGCCGCCAAACAGTCTCCCGAGTTTTCCCGCGGTTGCTGATTCAATTTATTTTAGTTTTCGTGCTCTTATGATGAAGGGAAGTTGGATGATGGGTGTAAATAGAGCAGACCGATAGATGGTTTGGTAGATGGTAAAAATGTGGAGTATATCAAATTCGTTTCGCTTCAGCATTTCGGATGAAGCAGTTTATCAAACCGAGTGTTTGAGGACTGCAATGTGCGTTTGAATGAATGAGTAAATCAATGAATAGGGAGTACTATCGATCGATTACATTGGCGCACGCTGGGGCAGAAGTTGTTTGTTTCAATTCTTCGTCCAAATTTCACAGCCTACTGAAAATGAGGTATTCTAATATTTTGTTCAATACAAGAGTGTTATTAGAGGGGTAATCAACAGCGGCGCCGGTGGTGTAGTGGTAAGTGTGATTACCTCTCACCCCAGCAGGCCTGGGTTCGATCCCAGTAGGCGCCGCCGGGATGTGCTGAGGAATAACATCTCTGAAGGAAGGGAAGTAAAGCCTCCCCGGTTCTTGAGTTGATGGGTCGATAGGTAGGGTCCAGATGTGGAAGCGGCCTTCCTGGCGTCGGTAGCATTGGTGCTCAGCACGGAAAACAAGATCGACGGAAAGCCAATCAACGAAAAAAAGGGGTAATCAACTCTGCACACTGTGCCGAAACACAGCATTGTACAGTATTCGGCACCTTAGAACTTACTTAAGGGTCCTGTGCACCACCAGCGGTGCAAAGGGCCAACGTGAAAGACTTCCATCCTGTGCGGCTGCTCGCTTTTGCCTTGACCTGGGCCCAGGTCAGATTCCTATCGACTTGCTTAATTTCCTTATTGAGGCGCCACCGCCATGAGCCCCTGGGTCTGCCTCTGCTGCGATGTCCTGCCGGATTCCAAAATTTCGTTTCCGCTCCGTCGAAGTGTGTGGCCGACCCACCTCCACTTTTGCTCTCGAATTTCTGTTGCTATCGGCTTCTGATGACATCGACGATGGAGCTCGGCATTCGAGATCAAGTTGTGAGGCCACTAGGCACGAATTATATACCGCAGGCATCGGTTGATGAAGACCTGCAGCTTTTGAGTGTTCTCCGCTGATACACACCACGTCTCGCTGGCGTATAACAACACAGATTTCACGTTCGAGTTGAAAATTCGGATTTTGGTGCGTTGACTTATCTGGTAGGGTCTCCATACGTTTCGTAAACTCGCAAAGGCAGCCCTAGCCTTCTTGATTCGTGCACCTATGTCGCTCTTGGTCCCGCCGTCCGACGCTATTTGGCTGCCAAGATATTGGAAACTTTCAACCTTCTCCACTGCTTGCCCCGCTACCGTAAAGTTGGAAGGGTTGCCCGTGCTGATATCCAACGATTTGGTCTTGTTGACGTTGATGGTGAGACCCGCCGCAGAGGAGCGTTCGGCTAGGCCATTAAGCTTACTCTGCATATCAGAGCGCCGTTGTGCTAGTAGAGCAACATCATCAGCCAAATCGAAGTCGTTGAGATGCTCCATGGTGATAGGCTACCAAAGCAGCCCACGGTTTGGTACACGGTTAATTGCACCTACCATGACCTCGTCGATTACGATGAGAAACAGTAGCGGTGATAGTATACATCCTTGTCTCACACCAGCGACTACCCGGATAGGGTCGGACAAGGCTCCGTTATGCAGAACTCTGCACGTGAAAGCCTCATACTGCGCTTCGATGAGGTTGACGATTTTATCCGGGACTCCCTTGCGTTGAAACGGCGCCCCACAGATTATCGTGATTGAGACGGTCGAAAACTTTTTCGTAGTCAATGAATACCAAATAAAGGGACTCCTGGAATTCATTGACCTGCTCCAGGATGATGCGGAGCGTGACAATATGGTCCACACAAGATCTTCCGGCACGGAATCCTGCCTGCTGCCGTCGGAGAGTCGCGTCGATCTTCTCCTGTATCCGATTCAGGATAACTTTGCACAGAACTTTGAGAACACACGTTGAAAACTAGTTGACGTTTTGCCAATCGTTGCTAAGGTTGACTTCTGTGAGTAATGTCTGCACCATGAATCTCTTATCTCTTCAAAACCAACCTACCAAAAGTTTATCATATCCGATTCGTAGCGAAAATTCCCGAAAATTTTCTCGCTTTCCCCTGCATTTTTCCTCAGCTATCCTTGCCAGTTATCGGTTTCAATTGGTATGAACTTTGATGGGAAATCCACAGGACTTTTTAGGGATGTCCATACAAGTCCCAGTCAGTGCTGAAATTTGTCATTGTCATTCATTTTTTTGTCAACGACAAAGATTTACCTGGTAACTAAATCAAGCATAACTTTTCAAAAGGACGTATGTAACATTGGATAGGAAATTAGAAATATTGGATAGCAATGTCTATATGAGATTATTAAATGCTATTTAAAAGTTAATGCTATTTTTTTTAATCTGTGTGTGCTATTAGTTGGATAAAGCGATAGCGTATAAGAGGATTGTGAAAAATGTCGAGTTTGCAAACACGGACAAGACTTTTGATAAAACAAAATCATACACCTTTTACTTGTGTACTACTCACATACACCCTGATTGATTCGTCGGTATCACACCTTGATTGTTACATACACCCTGCATGATTCGTCTATTTGACAGAAGGGTTACTTCCACTCACTTGCTATAAAAAAATGTTTTTCGGTATTATGAAATCATGATATAGTATAATGCTTATAAGTACTTGTAAGTTACAAGAAGAGGTCATGAAGTATATGTTTGACATATAAAATCTGTCAATATTGCTTTCAGTGCGTCACAATCAGAGATTTTACGACTCGTGAGCGCTCACTCTGAGTGAATGCTCACGAATTATAAGATCGCTGATTGTGACGCTTTCAAAGCGAAATTGACAGGTTTTAGCAGTCAAACACATACTTTACTCCCTCGTCTTGTTACTAACAAGTACAACATAAAGGGTGTCCACGATGAAATTGCCACACACAAAATTGATTCGCAAAATTCGAGTTTTCATCCGATTGCCATCAAATTTTCAGGGATTGAGAAATAACTATTAAACTTCATTTTACCATTTTACTCGTATTTTATTTACAGTCCATACGCAAATGCCCGCACCTTGGCCTTAACCCCGGCCATAAGATTCTGCACAAACTGTGAATCAACCGTTTTTTGCATGTAAACCCATACTTTCTTCAGTTCCTCGACTGTCTTCACTACCTTAGGTCGTTTAAGAAGGTGCTGCTTCATAATCGCCCAGTACTTCTCGATGGGGCGGAGCTCCGGAGTGTTGGGAGGGTTGAACATTTTCGGCACGAAATTGACCTTATTGTCCGCATACCACTTCAGCCCGTCCTTGGAGTAGTGGCATGAGGCCAAATCCGGCCAGAAGATTGTTGGGACGTTGTGGGCCTTCAGGAGAGGAAGCAGCCGCTTCTGGAGGCACTCTTTTATGTACACCTGTCCGTTCATCGTGTCCTGGGTCACGAAAGGTGCACTCCGCTTCCCGCACGTGCAGATGGCTTGCCAAACCAGGAATTTCTTCGCAAATTTGGATATCTTCTGAGTGCGGACATGCTCCGGAACGCTGAACTTATCCTTGGCCGTGAAAAACAGGTTGCCGGGGATCTGTTCGAAGTCGGCCTTCACATATGTTTCGTCGTCCATGATGCAGCATTCAACTTTCGTCAGCATGTTGAGGTACAACTTCCTGGCACGGGTTTTGGCGGACTTGTTCTGCTTCTCGTCGCGATTAGGGGTCTTTTGTACCTTGAACGTTCGAAGCCCAGCCTTAGTTTTGGCCTTCTGGACAAAACTTCGGCTTAGGTGCAGCTTCTTAGCCACATCCCTAACGGAGGCGTTCGGATTTCGGTTGAAGGCCCCAACTACGCGGTTGTGATTTTTGGTGTTGTACGGAATACTTTTTCCTTCACTTCTGGGCTTCCGATCGGTGGTCAAGCGTTCCTCGAACCGCTTAATCACTCGCGACACCGTGGAATTCGCGATTCCCAACGTTTTAGCGATGGAACGATGCGAGAGATCCTTGTTCTCGTGATGAGTGCGCAAGATTTTATCACGCACGAGCTGTTCTTTCGACTCCATTTCCGCGAGTTTTGATCACAGGACTTTAAATAATGCACTATGAACTAAATCCACCCAAATTTTCATTAAATTCTACCCAACGGTTAAAAAGTTAGAGCAATTTCATAGTGTGGCAATTTCATCGTGGACACCCTTTAGCGTTATTGCATCTAATGATTGCATAATTCCGAATAATATTTTTTTATAGCAAGTGAGTGGAAGCAACCCTGGTTTTCACATACGTCAAATCAGATACACCGGTTTTTGTTTTGCAGTGAAGATACGTCGGTAGCTCGAAAAGCATTGAGGAATTGTCGGTTGGTTGGTTTATATACATAACTACCCAGAGTTGTGAAATAATCGATGTTATAAGCGGAGATGAGAGGGTCACCGCATTATCTGCTGTCAGATGTTATACGTTTTGTGTTTTTCGTATTAAGAAAGCGCTGGTGAGATTTGTATCTGAAGTTCAATATTAAAGTCAAGATTAAAGTGCAATTTTATAAGCGTACTTTTGAAATAATAAACATTTTGCTCCCGCAAATACTAAAACAAATATACAAACTTGACGCATTTGCTGATTGATAGTGGTTGCTTTGTTTTTTTCACATACGACGCTTCACTGTGAGCGTATCTGCAGTTTTTGTGTTATAATCAAATTTTAACAGTTAAGTCATGTTGACAATAAAAGGGTGTATCAACACAATTTTAAAAACAATGAAATAAGGTGACATAGGGCGTTCATTAAATATATTTTCCATAATGCATTACAATTTCATTAACTCGTAGGAAAAGCATGTATTTTATATTCGGTTAGATACAAAATATCAATTTGTTTATTTTTGCGACTTACGTCCTTTTGAAAAGTTATGCTTGAAATGTGTAATTTCATGCAGAATGAAGCTTAATGTTTGCCATGAATTAGAGAAATTGAAAATGTAAACACAATCAAAATAGTTTAACTTCAGGATTACCAAACTCATGGGATATTGACACCTTGATTGATACACTTCGAAACGATCGGCACAGCTTTCGGCACGGACTTTGGCTCGGACTTCGGCACGGACTTCGGCACGGACTTCGGCACGGACTTCGGCACGGACTTCGGCACGGACTTCGGCACGAATTTTGGCACGGACTTCGGCACGGACTTCGGCACGGACTTCGGCACGGACTTCAGCACGGACTTCGGCACGGACTTCGGCACGGACTTCGGCACGGACTTCGGCACGGACTTCGGCACGGACTTCGGCACGGACTTCGGCACGGACTTCGGCACGGACTTCAACACGGACCTCGGCACTGCTAAATTTCTTGGCACAGATTTAGGTGTGCAAAGTTGAATACCCCTTGGTGTTGTTACTTCATGCGTGAGGTTTACGATTTTCAGTGTTGGGAGGAAATGTTATACTAATATAAGCACGAAGCTATAGTGCGATATTTATTACCTAGAGAAAGTTTCTGAAGAGGATAGATTGATGGATCCCGCTAGAGAACTGCAGTGTGAAAAATGAACAGAAGTTGAAATTGAGCGAAGGGCGACAATACTATTCAAATGAGCACTCCTTTCAAGGGGTAAGTGACTCAGCACAGCGTGCCGAAAGAAGGTTCGGCACAGTTTGGGCACATCCATCGGGACACCTTCGGCACAGTTTCGTTGGCATTGGATTGTTCATTAAATAAAATGGGAGCTGTTGTAGTCAAATTGATATTCGATACACTCCCTTTGATGTTCCCACCAGTGCTCGTCGTGCTCTTCCATCGATACCTTGAATTACCTTTTCCACAACTCCTCGGATCCAGGTTCTACGGTTGTTCCCATCGACTACATACACCAGTTCTCCCTCTTGGATTGGTGTCTGCTCCCCGTGCCACTTGGTACGATGATTGATGGTAGGTATGTACTCCTTCAGCCACCTCTGCCACAGCATATCGGCCAGCTCTTGGGACCGCTTGTAGTTGTACCGCAACGCTTCGGCCGAATTTGTCGGTACGTAAGCCTCTTCACGCTCTCCAGAAGGTAAACCGCGGAGGAAGTGATCTGCTGATTCCTGTGGCACATATGTGAGCGGCCGAGAATTCACCATGTCTTCAGCTTCAGCCAGCACAGTGAGTAGGATTTCGTCTGTCAATTTTATGCCATCGCGCAGATTCTTAAGTGTTTCTTTCGCCGATCTAACTAATCGCTCCCAAATGCCACCCATGTGCGGCGCTGCAGGTGGATTGAAGGTCCATCGGGTCCTGGCACCGGTGAAAACGTTTGCATACTACAGATCGAAACGACGCACCTCTTGTACCAGCTCCTTGCTGGCCGCTTGAAAATTCGTGCCGTTGCCTTAAAAGAGCTCCAGTGGTGCGGTGCACCTCTCCTGCAAATAAATCGCCTGATTGCCATCACGCATGACTGGCCGCTTAGGCTATGAGCGGCTTACATGTGGATAGCCTGGGTCGCTAGGCACGTGAACAGGCAAATCCATCTCTCCGATCGTCGTCCAACCGTGACGATTGCTGGACCGAAATAATCGATCCCCACATAGCTAAACGGACGTAGCTGTGGAGTGAGCGTTGTACAGGCAAAGGTGCCATCCTGGGAACTGCTGGTTGGCACTTGTTGATTTTGCACCACGAACAGTTCTGCATCGCCTGCAGCACTGCGGCTCAAATTTTCTGGATGTAGAAACGTTGCCTAAGTTCGTTAACCACTGTTTGGTTTGCGTGGCCGAACTCTCTATGGTAGTGAAGAAGAAGTTTAGAGATGACGTCGCGGCCCTTTGGAAGCACAATGGGGAACCGCTGCTCGAAGGCGATGAAATCTGCATGGGCCGACCGTCCTTCCATTCGAATTACCCCGAATTCATCAAGAAGAGGGGACAATCTGTATAGTGGACTCGATCGTTCAATGTTGTGCCACTTAGCTTTCGGCAGCTCACGATTCTTCAACAGCGTCTTGACTTCATCCGAAAATTCTTCTTGCTGCGCAGTTTGCCCACAGGTAGTGCTTCGCTTGTCGATGTTCTTCGAACATCAGGTGTTCGGCCGACCCAAAGACTGTGATAAACCGATCGATCTTAACGAACCGTCAACTTCAAAGGCAGTACCATCCCGCCGTAGGAAGTACTTTGTCAAATTCGCCGACATGTCCTACTGGCACTGTGATTGGATCACGGAACTGCAGTTGGATGTCTTCCATCCACTGATGTACCGTTTCTACATTCGGAATTACGACATGGGAGAACGTGCTGGACGAGGAGGATGGCCGTTACAAGCGTATTCTCAAGATGCGTGAACGTGACCGCGAGGATACGGTACTGGAGGAGAAGTTCTACTAGTATGGTGTCAAACCGGAATGACTGATGGTTAATCGGGTCATCAATCATCGGACCATGCGCCATGGGTGAACATTGTACTTTGTCAAATGACATGAACTGTCCTACGATCAAGCCACTTGGGAAGAGGATGACGACGAAATTCCAGGATACCATTTGAATTTGTATGGTTTGATAATTCTAGTGTTATCACTCAACTAAGTCATCTTAATCGTAAAACGTAGTTTGTTTTTGACCAATTTAATAGGAGCACTGTTGGCCAGCTATCATTGAAGTTGTTCACAACATTACGTGCTGTTTGACTGTGTATTTCAGAAACATACTCTAATTGAATATAAAAGAGGAACTCAGACCAGCAATTCACTTCTCGGGCTTAGGCAAAGTCTCAAATATACTACAATATCGGTATTTTCGGAACGAAGACGACGCGAAGGTGCAGAAAATCGATGTCCGACGCCATTTTGGAATCCAATATGGCGACCATCGCGCTCAGAAAAAGTGTCAAATACCCTAAGATTTCTAAGTGTGTAGGGACAAATATATCACAGTCCACCTCGTTGGGCAGAGAGGTCACAGGATCGTCGAATCAACAGATTTCAATGTCTGGAAAGCGGCAAGTCTTTCGGCTAAATCTCTGACAAAGTCAATCAGATCATATCGTAGCGTACACAGCAAAAAATAAATTTTAATATTACATCTAAGAGGATACACTTCAATCATGTCGAAGATCTCATGTAATTTTTATGGCCACAAAAATAAACAAATGCAGTAAAAGCAGCGTAGTGCCAGTTCATGCACTGTGTTAATGATAATGTTGTCCTTTTTGGCAAGTAATATTACACCATATTTTCGACACGATTGAAGTGCATCACGATTGAAATTATTTTTAAATACTTTTTATTTGATATTTTGATATTTGAAATCGGCTTCAAGTGGTCCAAAAGTTATGAATTTATTTTGACCACCTCAATGGTCATTCTAATGACAAAAAAACGGGTGTAATATTTTGCGATAAGAAACAACACTACCAATTTTTAAGAATTTATGAGAACCACTATATCGCTGACCTATAGAATAATTTTGCATCTAAATGATTTTTTGTTGATTCAACATAACATTTTAGTTATTTTAAACCTTTTGGCAAATAAGTCAAATCAATTAGCGATCTTCGACAAAGTTGTTCTGTATCTATATAGGTCCCAGTTCTGGAAATAATTCTGAATTATTGACAAGCTGCTGAACAATCTTGTTTCGTTTCCCATACAAACTTTAAAATTCTCCCTGTTGAGGATCTCAATACAGATCGAATGAGCAGTGGGCCGCATCGTGTTGTTAAGTTGACCCACCCTAGTGCTCATGTTTACGACTTTGCAAGTGTTATCGAAATAATTTTAGACATTTTTTCCCTCGCATAACGCAGCAATAACAACAAAAACAAAAAAAAACAAGTCAAGGCTTGTCCCCCGGGCCCACAAATCAAGATGAATAATTTCCCGGATTTTATTCGCCTTGATGGCACTGACGGTGCCGTCTGCGCTCTGTGTGATTTTTTACGACCCGCACACCAGGTTTCCTCGAATATTGGTTTTAATGTCCACGACTTCTTGGGTCACCACAGCTGCCTGCCGTCGGAAAAAAAAAAGAAATCAGGAAGCAGTCTTTGCTTTGAAGCATAATTTTAATGGCCTACTGCCTGCTAGTTAGGTAGTGAAATCAGCTCTTGCTCTCATTTTCAGCATGTGATCTCTCACGCTGCTGCCAATT